GGGTTTGAGACAGCTCTAATAGTCGGGGACAGAAGGCTGAGGCTATTTTCCCGAATACAAAGGCACAGTGGTCAGAAGTAAGCAGGGATGGCAACTGGTTATCTTTCCGGAAGTATGTTGGAAAGGCTTGCATAAATGACAAAGAACAATCTGGCAATGAATGAGTGAGTATGAGAGCCTTATATACTGGCTTTGATGGGAGGCAGCTGTGTGCACACATGAGCAGGGTCACATCTTGTTTTTGCAGTCCTCAAGTGGACAAAAAAAACACAGCTCACAGTCAACTTAAAAGAACGTTTTTACAAATCAGTAGAAATGTAATGTTTTATTGTAGGCAACTGTAAAAGATATTTCTTTAAAACTCAAAAGCAAACTTCAGTCTGAACTTGTAAAAACATGTTTCAAAGCCCTCTCTCTTTTATCGGACTTACTTATGAAGAGTCCCGCAGCAAAGAGATTGAGCAGCAGAGACAGGCCTACTGATGAGAGGAAGGACACTGTCTTCAGCGCTGTCCTTTCAAAAGGCGTGAATGCATTATCCAACCGTTACTCTGTACCGGAGAAGAAAATCTCCATGAACACCAAGGCTATTACCAACATATGTGAGGAGTTGAAAGGAGAGCAGATCAAAGTCAAAGTGAAAAAAGAAGAAAATGCAACAAAAAAAAAAAAAAAAAAATCTCATGCCAAGCTTCTGAGAAGAGAGGATGCAGGAGAAAACGGACCATTCGACTATACGGCAATGAAGACTTGCAATGAAGATGCAAAGAAATAAGTTTTTGACCATTTCCTTTTTCAAAGAGCACAATCTGTATTTCACACAATGACAAAACCATTGGTCACCAGTTCAATATACATTCAGTCAGAATTGAATAACTCAGGAAAAAAAGATCATAAAGGTTTAACACATTGTTATTCTTAAGCAATTTGTGTTTTCTGGGCTAGTAGATTAAAAAGCAGTATCTCAAAATGTCATTATTTAACTTTAAGTATGTTATCTTCCTCTAGTAAAATGTCACTCAGCTGTCATTCCTTTTATTAGTTACGGCAAATATAGCAACACAGTTTAATGGAGAGCGAGTGTAGACTTAATAGACTTGCCAATAGCTTGTAAAACATTACTATTTTCACTTTATACAGAGGGAAATTCACTTTTCATCACTTCGACCACACATCTATTTTGCTCTCAAAACTACTTTTAGAACGAAGATAGGCAACGATAGTAAACACTCCTTGATGAATTGGTCATCTTGAGTTTATATCTAAACCCTAGCATGATAAAAAAAGAAGTTGCTTTAAAAATATGAGTAGGCAAAAACAATCTTAACAAGATCTAATCAGTCTTTTACTGACTCAGTGATTTTACTTGAATACGTAGAATAATGTCACTTTTATATCTCTGAATTTTTTTCCATGTTTGATTTATTGGTTTGAATGTATTTTAAAAGCTTTGTTTTGGTTTTTTTAATAAAAACTTTAGTTACCTTTTTTTTTTAATTGAAGAACAATTTCAAATGTTATGAAAAACCTTTCTGTATAATTTCACAACATGTTGAGCCGATGTTTTCTATTGCTAATGTCCTGTAACGGCTTGTTTACACCCATCATGTGAAAATGGGATGCTTTTAATGGCTGAGATGTGTGAAGCAGCAGTAAAAATAACCTGGTAAGCTGTGTTAGGATAGAAACCATTTGTAATGATGATACAACTTCTTTGGGTTACACAGCCTTGCTCACACAAATAGCCATGTTCGTAAGAGGAGGGCATATCAAGTTGCCAAGAGGGCGACTCTCTCTGTGGTTGACCCAACCAGAGATAAGCTGCTAAGCTGCAGATGAAAGTGTGAGTGCATGTAGAGAGTGTGGCATGGTGAGCAGCTGTGGTCAGCCAGATTTGGGAACCCTCGGTGACACCACTGTTAGGATACAGCGGAGAGAGGCTTTACTTTGGTACACACACACACACACACACACACACACACACACACACACACACACACACACACACACACACACACACACACACACACACATACTAAAAACAAGAAAAAGGATGAATGGATAATACATAAATCCATACATAAATGTGATAAACCAATCACATTGTCCCATATGCCCTCTCTCACCAGAATCCAGTGTCATCTTGTTTCAATACTAAAGGCTTCATATGGCAGAAAAGCCACTCAGCCCGTCTGGATCTCACTGTGTCGACCCACAGCAAGACTTTTGGGGATTTTCTTGAGTGTGTGCGTACGTACAGTGAAATTGGAGTAGTTGTCAATAAAGTAGTGCTATGTGGACGGTGTTTGGTGCATACTTCCCAGGATAGATATGGATGAACAGTCTGTTTTTTTTCCCTAACATTTCTATCAAATACCAAATGGAAAATATCTGATGAAGATAGATAGATACTTCAGTGATCCTGAGGGAAATTCAGAAACATCATCAGATGCACGAGAGAAGGCACAGATCATGAATGTAATTTCGCTATGTGTTTCAAAAAAAATTCCCACCATAGTTCAACTTTTCTAAAGTACAGGTCAAGGTCATGTATGTGTGTCAAAAAAGGCCTAGACACATCACTCCAATGCAACATGCAGCAGTTCTATAGATTCGGGAGATATTGGAGGAAAACAACTGGCCTTGGAAATAAATCGATTTAAACTATTCTATTTTGGGCTTGAAGTTTTTCTTAATAATGAAAGTATTATGTTGTAAATAAGTTAATGTTAATGTGTGCAGTAAAACACAGGATGGAAGTACAGCAACAAATGACAACAGTAGTCAGTGTTTTAATAAGGAACAGATTCATACTTTAATAAAAGGGTATTTCCCCTTGGCACAGATCTGCTATCAAATAAATAAAGCAATTAATCAAACACAATCTATATAAACTAAACAAAGTCATGAAAAATCATTAGGGGGAGGGTAAGGGGGTAAAACAGCTAATGCTAAACACATTTTCTTCTTTTAAAACACAAGTGAAAGTGTGTCTGTGTGTGATGAAAGAGACAGATTGTGTTAGAGACAGTTTAAGATTCATCCCTGATAAGTGGGATAGCTATGCTGGTAATGGAGTATGAGCTGACAGATGGCAAGTGAGATGGCTTGACAGATATATAAATATAATGAATATTCTCTCCGTTCATCCTTTCTGAAGTCCACAATATACATGTGTTTTTTTTTTTTAAATGCCTACTGATGGACATTACAAAGCAAATTAGTGGTACAAGACACACAGCGCTAAAGTGGCTCTCAAAACTGACGGTTCTATACAACAGGAGAGACGTTGGTGGATGTGCAGGCGTTGCTCCAACAAGATTTGATGAACATTTTTGTTATAAAAAGAGACATTCATAGTTTCACATAAAAAAAAACAGTCTGGTACATTTACAAGGATCTTTTAAAATCCTAAAATAACGATATTTTGCCATGTTGGGATAAAAGACAGAAGAGGGATTTTGACAGTAGCCTAAAGGTTAAAAAGTCCTCGAAGGATGTGAATTCCCCAGAGCATCCTCTAAACTAAGTGACAAAATTCCAAAAAAAAACAACTTTCCAAACTCTCCATAAATACTACTGAGGTGCTTTTGAGCATGGCAGATCCCCTCCAGTTGCTCCAGTAATGCTGCTTTGAAGTCAATTGTATGAAAGAGTCTATCCTCGTGTGAGTTCAGGTCATTGTATGAATATATGAAGCAGGACATGAAAAGAAATATGGAGTTATGTGTATTCGGTAAAATGCACTCCAGGTCAAAGAAGTGTAAAAAAAAAATAAAGTTGCCACCTGAGTGCGGGGTCACAGCAAAAATTCCTTCAGAAGTACTCGTTCACCACTTCAAATCGGACTAACCTGCAGGACAAGCAGTCACCTTCATGCTGTCCGGTCATGCAGCCAAACTACAAATTCCACACTACTAATTTTTTGGTTGAGGGCGGAAACCCCTGACAAAAAGATACCAAGTTATGAGAGCTTCAACATTAGGATTCATTGTCCAGGGAAAGCAGTGTGAGGTGAAGAAGCTGATGATCCCCCCTTACGGGAACAGCGCTGTTTCTAACCACCGGTGAGGCGAGCCGCCTTACTGGTGCCTCTGCTGAAGGACAGCATGCAGCTGTGAGAGGACGAGACTGGCATACACTGCATTCCTGCCTGTAACAAACACATGTACACACTGATGTCAGACTAAAAATCAACATGGTGGAAGTAGTTTGAAAATGTGATCTGGTAAACATCATCCTGCTATTGTTAACAACTACTTGGAGTTGCTATTTTAGCAGGTGATCAACAACGTGCCATTTACAGATCTCAGTTCAGTGCTTTCTATGCCAGAGACAAAAGCATCTGCATGAGTATGGCAGCGCCCGCAGAGCATCATAGACAGGATGAACAGACAGTCCCCAGGGCTGGCAGGAGAGCAGCAATGGTGAGTTATGGGTCAAGTGGAGACTGCGGGCCGGGCCCAGTGTTATCCAGCACCAGAGGAATGGGACAGCTGAAAGAGCCATTGCCCTGCCCCGCAGCACCACAAACAGAGCCTTGTTGGCTGAGCTCTGAGGCCACATGGTCGCCTGGTGAAAGACCCGCTGACAGCTGGGGGACACGGAAACAGAGGGAGCAGCCGCGTTAACCCAGGGCCAGGGACGACAGAGCTGCTTTAGGATATAGAAGCCTGACAGTCAGAAAAGGAAAGTCCAAAAAGAAATGCAGAGCGCTGAACGACTTCTAGCTGTGATTAAGATGTGTGTAGATATGAAGCAGCATGAAGGTGAAAAAAAATACATGCATGCTCGGCAAAACATTTCACTTTTTAAAGCTCCTGTGAGGAGTTTTAAGCTGTGAGATAGACTGAAATGAATATTGATGCCTCTAAATCAGTGTTTCTCAACTGGTGGGCTGGGACCCAAAAGTGTGTCACGGAGCCATTTTCAGTGGATCGCTAATGTGTTCCTGGAAAAAATATTGTGTAAAAAAAGTCTTTGAACCGTTTCCCAGCATGTTTTTTTTTTTTTTTTTTTCTTCTGTCACGCTTTACTGTCTGAGGCCCAAACTGCACAACTTCACATTGAACAAATCTGATTGGTTGAAAAATATCTTAAATTTGGGTCGGGACTTTTCATGAAGGAACTAGTGGTGGGTCCTGAGGCCATACCAGTTGAGAACCACTGCTCTGAATGATCTTCTAAAGCACACAAGACCGTCAGCAACGAGACTGATTCTTTCTATATTGTAATTATTAATGCCTAAAATTGCTGCTCCATATAAAGGTTTCATACAAAGTGATCAACAGTATGCAGCTGAAAGAGGCTTTTTTTATTCTTCAAGATAAAGATTCATTAAGAGTGATATGTTTTATTGTTGAAATAGAGCAGGATGAGATGTGTCACCAGTAAGTACTTTTAACACGTACAGGACAAAATTAGAAAAGGAATAAGAGGTTCTATTTTGTCGACAGGGGGCGCTAGAATCCACAAACTAGAAGTTCCTCACAGAAGCTTCAAAGCCAAATTCCTAATGGTGAATGTTTGCGACACAGTATAACTTGCTGAATGTCACATTGCATTATTTATTTTTTTAATTGTTATGAAAATGTCTCAGGATTTAAAATGCTGAGTTTACAAAAACACAGCTTTTCAAAACAAAGGAACATCACAAGAGCTTTAAATGGAGGTATTTTAAAGGGAATTTAGCTGTTTGAGGAAACAGAAGAACTGGAATAACACTTGATTTTAAACAATTGAAAATCATGTTGTAATTAAAGATGCTTCTGATTCATCTTTAATAATTCTAAGTCCAAATGAACAGCATGACAGCCATTAACACAACAAAGCCAGACGATATGTATGCAAATACCAGCCAGTAAGATCTCGACAAACGCTCCGTGGTCAATGTAATGTGCTTTTGCAGAGCACCGATGATTTAATATAAGAGTTGGAATTCACAAGATGAAAGTTGACCGTCTCCTTGTGCGATGACATGTTGAAACAGAGGAGGGATGGAAAGTGAGTGACTGATACAGTTTTACCAAAATGAGGCTCAGAGTGGTTTTATAAAATGTGGTTGTGTAGGATAGAGAAACATACAAGCTTGAGATAGTGAATACAAAGAAATCACATCATCAATAAAGCTTATAAAATTGATAGTATATATATACCTTATGTACAGTAAATATTAGTAAATAAAAGTAAGGAGCTTCTCAACACTTCAGTACTGCAGATGGTGACACAATTTCTTTTCTTAAAAAAAAAGTTCCAAAGTAATTTGAAAATATCTTCTTAGTCAAAGTCAACTTTACAACAATTAGGATAAAATCAGAGGTAGCAGCAGATTTGGGATCTCTGTTTTTTTTTTGTTTTGTTTTTTTACTTTATAGCATTTCATCATTTTTCTTCCATGTTTTGCTTGTGGTGTATTGCATGCTTGAACCAGGATCTTCATTTTCATCTGAAAAAAAAACAAAAAAAAACTGCCTGACAGCCTGCTTTAAATACTCACACACCCATGAGCGCACTTCAAGTGGTTTTTAACAGACACCAGTGTCGTGACACTCACATATTCACACACGCACAAACACATACACAGACACTGACCCACATACAAACACGCACACAGGCACACACCATGCCCTGCTCTCACCTATACTCCTTCATATATTTTATTCTTTACATCGCAGTCTTTCTTCCTCTTATCCCTCCTTTTCCTTAAAAACCTTTTGGCATATTGTTCTGGAAGGGTTGGGTTGCTGGTTTGGAGTCTTTCATCAGACAGAGCATGACAGACTCAGGGGAAGAGAACCTTCTGGGATGTTTTAATAAATTGTCACTGCACCACCTCTCTAACCCCTTAGCTGTGATCCTCAGTCCTGTGTCGTACAGTGGCTCTAAATCAATGTCCTGCTGCACACCCCAGCTTTTAAATGTCTGACCAGCCTCAAAATAACACTGATTAATAACCTCTCAGTACTGGGGAACAATCTCCCATGACCCCCTTCTGTCTTGTGTCCTCTACAGAGCCCCTGCAGTGCTGCACAAAGTGTAGAAGCCCTGTGTTGGTTTACGGAGCTCACTGCTGAGCCCTTCAGCCAGGGTGGAAATTCAGGACTGGTAAAAGTGGTGGTAGTGGTGATGGTGTTCATGATGGTGGTGGTGCTCATGCCGCTGCACCACTTGTGCCAGTCCCCCCTCATACAGCAAGACACTGGGCATGTCCCGCACCTGCTCCCTCTCCACAACTGGTCCTGGAGCAGCCACAGGGCCCTGTAAGGCTCTGTAAGCCTGGCTGTCCTTAGACCGCTGCTTGTGCTTGCGATATGGGGCAGAGGATTGGTGAGGGGGGGTTTGGCTGGGTAGTGCTGGGGGAGGGGGCACACCTCTGCTTCTCATTACCCTGCTGCTGATCTGCGCAGGAGGCGTGCGGCTGTGAGTCTTAGGAGAGCGGAGGGCGTGTTTCCCTGAGTCTTGTCCTCGTGTACGGGAGAGGTGGAGGTTGTCTGGAGAAACAGTGTCCACAATAGAATGCAGGCGGCGGTGGTGAACGTGTGAGTGGCCGTTTTCTGGTTCATGGGAGCGTGAGCGAGTCTGGTTGGATGACCGAATCTGAGGCTCCGCCTTTGGCGGCTCTGTGGTAGTGGCTGTGAGGGAAAGAGAAACAGGTATTTATTTCAAATGATAGGGCCAGCATGGACATCAACAACAAAAACTTAACCTTACATAGAAACATTAGTTATTCAGTCACAAAACTAATCAAATGTGATTCATAAAATAAGGTCAAAGAAGGAAGAAAAATATCCAATTAATGGCAAATGAAAGTGCTAATAGCTCACTTATAAAGGTCCACTAAAAAGATCTATGATACGGTTATCATCATGAAGAGAGAGCTGAGGAAAAGAAGCCAGAATCAGATACTCTGGTAGCACTTTCCTACCTGGACCAGTGTTCAAATAATCAGATCTCATCACTGTCCATGAGATCAAGGCTGCTACTTATTTCATCGAATATTTCAGCAGCATGTTCTGTTGATGAACACTTGATGTATTGTGCTTGCCGGAGCCCAGATGTTTTTACTGGCCAGAAGCGCAGTGGGCAGCTAGTTCCACCTAACGGCTCCAAGCAGGTGCTGCAGTAATGAGGGCCCCTGGATGCAGCTTCTAAGGGCCATGGCCTGTGTTTTTCCCTTTCCCCTTTCCCCACATCTACACCCCTGGCCCCGTTCCACTCACCGGCTCCGAAACGGGATGTGTAGTTTTCGATGCCTGCCAGGTCCAAGTAGTGGTTCCTGCGTTCCAGGTTCTCATCCACACAGTGGCGTTGGCAGCCCGGCTGGGTGTGGTGGTCACTGTGGTGACGCCTGTGGACACAAGCGGCACCTCTCATTAGCTAAAAGTTTGAGCCAGAGGGGTTCAGTATGGTAGTGTTTGGAGAAAGTTAAACAGTGTTCATATGATCAGGCAGCAGCAGAGTAATTGTTAGAGAGGTGAGATTGCAACTAGAAAATCACAGGTTTAAACCTCAGCTGGGAAGATTTGTACAGTGTGGTGAGAGGGCTGACTCTCCCCTCCGCTGTTCACCCGCCCATAGCACAGTGGAGGTACATTTAAGCAAAACTAATTAAAGAGTAGAGCACAATGGCAGCTCCCAAGGGTGAAACCTTTTAAAACAGCCCCTTGTATACGAGACTAAATGAGTGAGATGATAAACTCTCGTAGACTCTACAATCTGTGAGTACATGAGAGGCAGGTTTACCTTAAGAGAGCTCGACTCTTCTTGTCTGCACTCTTGGGGTCTTCGATGTTCTTCTCATTCTTCTCTCTGGGGTGGGACATGTCTGCGCATGTGTAAAAGACAGGAGGCTATTATCAAAGAGTTCTACGCAGAAATGCATACACACACACTCGTGGACACACACACACACACACAGACATGACAACAGTCACACAAGCCTGAGAAGAAAGCAACCTTTGTTTTGGAGTTTCACTTTGAAGATCTATACAAAAGGAAAAACAACAATGCTTCATTTATTCTATTTTCATCCCCGCAGCCTCTTATAAGGCGCAAAAAGAAAAAAAAGAAAAAAACATGCAGAAATTGTTTATTAAGGATGCGAGATCTGATACAGTTTCAAATTAGCATGAAGGCAACCAACAGTACTTTCAAAGCTTGCACTGTTTGAATCTTTTGACAGATATTTATAGCAAAAACAATAGGACACAAAGACACAAGACTATATACTTTTTGAGATGTTTCTTTCCCTGACTACTTGTTTACCACGTCGTCAGAGAAAAAAGTTAAGTTGAACATAGCTTGATTTTCCCAGCAGCACTGACGAAGGAGGGAGGAAGAGAGGCAGGAAAAAAGGGAACTTTGGAGAAAAGAAAATGGCTGTGGTTATCAAAAGGGCCCGGCACATATCTTAAGGTTTCTTTCAGAGCACTTGAAGGCGCTGAGGGAAGGGGCCCCCTCTCTTAGCTCTGTCACTCCCCAATCATTAAAAATGAACCCCATTGAGTGGGAGAGACGGAGCGATGCAGAGGCTGCGAGGAACAAAGCTCTGACAGGCCTAAAGCAGCTACCTTTCTGCATGACAACAAACACAACTCTGTGTGAGCCGACAGCACGCAACACAAGCGGGACCCCAAAATGCCCTCTCTTCTCCTGCACTCTTCACACACTGTGTTAATGTGAGTCTTACCTGCTGCACCCTGCGTGCAACTCCTCCACCGCTGGCTGGAGTCAGGAGCCACAGAGAGCTTGACCCGGAGTGTCTTGCTGCTGCTCGGAGAATGGTTGACAGAGGCATCCACGACCTCGTAGATGGTGTGAAGCAGGCTGGTGATATCCTGCAGGATGAGGGAGGTGGAGGTGAGTTTAATCTTGGATTGTTTATACAAAGCATTCATAAGAGATACATTTGATCGTTAGTTATTAAAAACAGCTTGAAGTCTTTTTGTGAAAGTTAAATTAAAGAAAGGAACAAATGAGACAATTCCTCACACGTAAACCAAATATTGTGAAGCTTTGTTCATTCAGACTCTGCATTTTAGACTTCATGGTCATCAGGTATCTAAAGAATTGCCTCAGACATAAGTGACGAAAGACAGATGTCTGCTGTTGTAGCTCTCCAAGTGAAGCGATCAGACGAGGTTTACAGAGGTTATAAATTCATGCAAAGAAATGTCTCTGCAGTTGCAGAAGACTCTGACTGAGATGTCAGACCTGATAAGAGTTGACTGTGTGCGCTCTTTCACTTTCTCCGTTTATTCCCTGAATCTATCTGATATAGCCTTAATCAAATCCGTTTGAATTAGCCTATCTACCATACAATTTACATTTTAAATACATGCACAAATGCACGTAAACACAAAAACAAATTAGCACACATTTATGTGTAAAGTACCCATGTCCTTACATGAAGGAAGACCAAGCTAACACGTATTTTCCCATAGCTAAGGGTCGTTTAAAAAGACAAATACAAAAACAAAGAAATAAGTCATTATCAGTCAGTGTGAAACAATATTAATTTATGCAAAAGGAAACTGACCTCAGTCACCAAGATGAATCACTTTTAAGACTTAATAATGTGGGGTTTTTTTGGAAACTATGCTTTGCACTGGTCAGTGTTTGTATGAACCACTGAATTAATGACTCCCTCTCGGATGGTAGAAACTGTGCTGGATTTTTTCAATGGTAACTATATGTTCTAATTTGGAATGCGTGTAAGAGGAGCCGACGTGAACAACGTCTCAAATCTTATCCGTGTTTTACTTTTACATAGCTAAAGCACATCGTCTTAGACAAAACTGCAGAGACATCACAAAAAGACACCAACAGCATGATGTTTTACTCACTAGAGTTTCCTGACTTATAATAAAAACGACTATTATGATGTTTTAAGGGTTGGTTCTGTATACTACTTTCAGACACAGTTGCACAGAGAAAAAAAAGAAAATTAAATGTAAAAGCTTTCTGTGACATTTTGTTTTATTGTGGAAAGGGATAAAAAAAAAAAAAAGAGTTGGAGAATAAAGCCTTTCTTTCCCCCCTCCAAGCCGCTGCCGCCGCCCGTCTCATGGGCCACAGAGCCACAGGCAATGCCAAAAAAACTGCAGAGCTAACCACACAGGGGACACTTGAGTGTCTTTGCACTGTTTTTAGTTGTTTTCAAAAAAACACGAGCCTTTTCTGAATGTTCTCTCAGATCTACCAGACAGACGCCAGCCACAAGGTACCTCGCAGGAACGGAAACACGTGGATGTCGCTGAGTGTAGTTCTTAGAATTGAGATTGGGTTAAGGCCTAGAAACTCCATCCTCAGCTTAATGAGAAATGTGAAATTACCAGAATAAGTATATAAAAAAAAAATGAATGAAGGCTGTTACATAACGCAACTGAACTGCTCACCAGAATACTTAAGTGGCTCTTAAAATCTGTGTATTCAAACATATTTAGAATATTTTTTGTTAAATACATACATTACAATAAAATGCAATACGACAAGAGACAACATCCCGTGATGTTGACAGATGCTTGTTTTTTTCCCCTTTAGACTTATCACTACTCCAGGAGATGATTATTACCTCTCTGGTGACTTTTCCGCTGTTGTCAAAGTCGTAAAGGGTGAAGGTCCACTCCTGCCTGTTATCCTCCTCCACAGACACGGCACACTCCAACTCCTAAAACAGAGCAGCATTGTACTATCAATATCCAGTTTGATCTAGTGTGTGTGTGTGTGTGTGTGTGTGCCCTGCCATTGCCCTAGTTTAATGCAGAAGGGGAAGTGATGAATTTCCTTTTGGAGTCAACACTCACTTCAAACTGGAGCTGCTTCTGGGGCCCTGCGGGAGATTGGCTGTCCCTCTCCTGCATCTTCTCCTCCACACAGCAGCTGTCCGTTTTCTCTGGGGGTAAAGCCACTTAAATGACACACACACACACACACATAGACAAACACACACACACATAGACACACACACACACACACACACACACACACACACACACAGAAAAATGTTAGAGCCTGAGGATGACACGTTGGGTGCAGTCTTTACCTGCGGATATGTTGTTGCCTTCAAGTGTTTCATGTACTACCGAGTTTGGCATTTGTGATCAAGATGTGTCACATCACTTGTTGTTAAAATAAACCCACAAGCCTACTCGCAGCTTTTGTCTTACTGCTTGTACTCTGAAGTCTTACTTTTATATAAATAATATAATATTCAAATAATGTGACAAGGCAACTATTGTGTCATTCCTGCAAATAAAAATACTGTAGAACTGTAAAAAGCAACATTAAGATTGATTTATATATATATATATATATATATATATATATATATACATCCCAAGAGGTTCACACAGACCGAGGATGTCAAACATGGAACTGAATAACATTTACATGTCTTTTACACGACTGAATATGAGGTGGTTATGAATGGTGGATTGGAAAGAGCATGTGAACATCAAAAGGCTTCTATAGGAGACCCCCCCGAGTCCTCGGCTCATAGCAGCAAAGCTAATCACTTTATGGAATGACATCCATCGTACATTACTACCCAGACATTCAGTAACAGCAGACAGTCCAGAGGGAGTATTACTAATCTGTCATATCCACTTAAAGTGACGACCTGCATGGAGCATGACAACATCTCCTATATAGAAGAGGTTGATGATGGCTTCTTTCTACGACATGAAGACACTGATTTCCCTCGGCAGGATTCAAACTGAGGATTTCCTGGTATGGTGACATGTGAAGAATGTAATTTAAAAGAATAAAATAAAATCAATGAACCTTGGACATGATGAGAAACACACTGACACTTGACACTTTGTTTTCACAAACCACAACCATAAATGGTAGGCTAAATTAAAAGAAAATCGTAAAACTTAAAACATGGCTTTCTTAGAAATTGTACGTAGGCGTTGAGTGAACATAATGTTTTTATTTTAGTCTGTGGTTGTGGTCATTGTTGGTGTATCTTTGGATTGCACTCATTGGAAGGTAAGCCACCCTATAAGACAAAAATAACACAACAATCTGGTTCAATGTTTCAGTTTCACTGTTGGATGCTGGCCCAGATGTAACGCTACCACGTATCCGTCTATGCTTTGAAATCTAGAATTTGTTTGGCACATGACACCCCAGATACATGCACAACATGTAACAGAGATTTGGGAGGTGTACATACCAGCTCCTTTGTAAGACTTTAAGAGTAACAGATGCCTACTTGCTTGATTCTATAATATGTTATGTACAATATGTCCCCCCCCCCCCCAAGAAGCTTGTTAAAGACTGTACCCACCCACAGCCCTTGTTTGTTTCAAATCTGGTCATTTTGCTTTGCGCAAACATTCCTCTCTCATCCAATCACAGCATTGCATGCCACACGCACACCCATACATCCGCACAGACCACACCCCTTCAGCTCCACCCTCCCCTGCTCCTCTCTCCCCCCCCCCGCCACACTTTGAAGTCTCATTCTCAAACCTTTTGGAAGAGGATCAGACCGGCTGTAAAACAGAATCACTAATTAATTAAGCCAAGTCAAATCTGAAACACTGTTTGTTTGCTCGCCAACGGAGCAGACACAACAGCCCAATTTCTTTCCTCCTGATCCAAAGCAGATCAAAGCAGACCTGTCTCATCCCAGGGTAGGGGAAAATGCCAGAAATGAAAGGCATCATCCCAGGGAGCTTTTACCAACTTTTTGGAGAGGGGTAGCATTTGGGGTCCCGCTGTTTGATCATCTGAGGTGCTCAAAGGGAACATTGTGTGTGAGGGCAAATCTGTTCCGTAGCAGGCTCAATATGGTGGTGCGATGCTTATCTCGGAGCTAATGAAATGCCGAGAGGAGTAACAGTAATCTGCTATCACCCTCCTCCTCTCAGCCAACCCTCCCTCAGCACAGACATAAGCCGCCTTTTTATGAGAGGAGCTGAGCCAGGGGGATTGGCTGCACATCAGATCTGAGGGGCAAGACGAGGGCAGCCGAGGCAAGCACCATCCCAGCCAAGGCTGTTCCAGCAGTCACACTCTACACACACACATACGTGCATACACTTGTTCACACACGAAGAAAAGAAGGCAGGTCAGGAAAACTACCACACACTGTGAGCAATCGCGCCTAGCTAACTGATACATTCATTTTAACAGCTCAGCTCCAGTTTCTTTAATGATTTTGAAATAACCTTTATGGTGAATGGAACTTTTTCTACTACTGCACTGTAACTCAATGAAGGACTCTTGCCGCCCTGTCAGGCCTCACATGCAAAGTGTCATGGCCAAATTCCACCAGATGCGTGTTCGGTCGGTCTCCGCTCTGTTACGGCAGCGGAGCTGATAGGTTTTCACTTTATTTAATGTGTGTGCTTCCACCGGCTCCGCTGCGCTGTGTCTCAGCTCCGGCAGTCCGGAGAACTATGTAACAGATATGCAAGGCTTTTGCCGGTTGCCGGAGCATGGCGCATCCATTTACCACAGAAAAGATCAAGAGGGACGGGAAGTCAGACACCGAAACATCTGGTTCATTTTCAGAATAAAAAACTCTGTTTTAACGGTGCAGAACAATGACAGTATGTGTTTTTATTTTTGTGTTTTAAATGGTTTCATACGGTTTTACACCACATACATCGTATTATCTTGCGTCGTAACGAGTGAATCTGTAAAATTACCGCAGGAATTCCTGTGTCTCGGCACTCCACCTGTCCGGCTGAGGAGGTGCTGGTAGCCGTAACAGACCCGAGCAGACACGCAATAAACACATGAATGAATGTATCTGGTGGAAGTTCTGGGTTACACATAGTTGGGGAATGGTGGGGTTAAGTTGTTCCGCCCTTGATCCAACATCAGAGGTAGTAACATAGGTGTGTTGGGTGATGTGGCAATATGTAGCGTGCGTAAAAAACACAACTCTGTGTCTGAACACACAGTGGTAGCTTAGCATACACATACATTCAATTACTGTGTCTGTAGCGCCTCTACACAATGTAATGCAATGTGAATTCATTAACTGGGACTTCAATATTACCCTGTTACAGATGCAATGGGTAAGTCCAAAGGCATAACTACAGCAGAACTTCTGTTGCTGAACTGCAGTCTGACAATCATAGACTCTGCTCTGTAGACATAATGAATAGCAAGGATGGACAAAAGTCTTAAATAAACATGATGAGGTTAAAAAAAAAACTTTACAGACATTTTGTTTTATTCAATCCTTCTTTGCATGCTTTTAGAACCTATTTAGGTTTACGAAAGACACCAATCATCTATCCTTTGCAAGTTATTTTTTGTTCTGAACACGCTTTCTTTGGATGTTCTTCCTTAAATCAAGAGTAAAGAATAATTTATGTCTTTCAGTTGTTCTGCCATCTCTCATTTATTTCCATTCATTTTTAACCGGCAAACGCATCTTTGTAAGATGTATTTACAGTTGATCAGACCACTACACTACATACTACACTACATGCCGGTTGGGCAGGGGACAACAAAAATCCTCCACAGCGGACTTTACTTGCATCTTATTGTGCAAAAGGAAGTACAAAATGTCTTTCAATTTTGACATAAGGGCCATGCATTTCACTTCACAATAAATAATTGCCTTCACCGCTTAATCCTTTTTCGAACCAACTTCATACTATTTTCAAAAGAGTGAAATTTGCACAAAGCAGGGTTGCAAAACTGTTCACTTTTCTTTGTGACTGAGATACAGGTTAATATCTCTAAAGATCTAACATGGGAGATACAAATGAGACACAGTTGCCTCTCTTTGCTAGTAACAAGTGTATACAAATGTATACTTTGATCAGCTGTGTTAGATAATATGGAATAATTGTGTATAATCTTTAAAAAATGTTATTGCAAATTGAGGCATCGCCTTTAACACTTTCAGAATGATCAGGGCAGTAAGGTCTAATACGCAGCATGTGTCTTCATGGAAGGGCAAACTCAGTGACTGAATGATTAGAAATAATTTTAGCCATTGTGTCTCTAGGATCAATACTTCTTCTGTCACCCAGTGAAGCAGAGATTAAATAAAAGTGCATTTTGTGCTGTGTTTCCAATTCATTCTACACATACAATCTTGTCTTTAAAAGGGAGGCAGACACGTTCTCCTCCTGCAGTTCTTCACATCACATCAGGGGAAAAAACATGGAGGAAAGGAGGCACTTTGCAGAGCACCAGGGGGAGGGGGATGAGAGACAAAGAATGGGGGGGGGGGGGCATAAAGGAAGGTAAAGGGAACCACTTCAGCACATTGTTGGGGCTTAGAGAATGGGTGTGGAGCAAAGGAGAGGAAATGAATGACAAAAAAGAACCACAAGCTGGAGAGCAATGGCAAACAGTATTTATGCAGGTTTTCATTCTAATCAAAATGTGACCACAATCAGTGAATTCGAGTGACGATGCCTTTGGTCATTATGAAAAGTAAGGGCTTACCTTCTAAACGGTAGTGTTCATTTCTAATGCCTTCAGGACATGCTTCTTCCAGAGAGTCCTGGAAATAAAAAATAGAGAAAATAAGACATAAATCACAGATTCAAGTCATATAAAGCAGAATCATTGTAACTGTATCACATAAAAAACAAACAATTTTAATGAGACAAATCCACAGCACAGCTGTCCAACATGAGAGACATGCCCAAATCAAAATTAAAGCTTTTATATATCTATATATGCAGTTTCACAACTGTGCACCCAGCCCAAGAAGTAGTTTAAGAAAGTTTAAGAGGAGGGTAATTGCAGGACTGAAACAAACTGAGCATGAGACTGGCAGTCCAAATTGAAACTATGAAAGAAGTATCTAAATCACTCTGAAGGGAATTCTGAGAAAGAGGGCTGGTAGTAATGCTATTTCTGTGGCAGGGGAAGCTATCGTTGCAGTGATACGTTCAGCGGCTTGTTTTCATCCTGGGCTGTTTTCACCCTGGCCCCCTCTCCTGGCAGCTCTGTCTGTTAGTGCATACCACAGAGACTTGAGGGACATGTGATCCCACAGGCTTCCCTATGGAAAAGTCTGGCTCAGATATCAATGTGGCCAAAAAACCATTACTCATGCACTGACAAACACATATGTATGTTCACATCCATACACACGTAGTCCAAAGACCCAGATCTGGCCTCATCGCTAAGTTTTCCATCACACTCAATTACCAGAATATGCACTTATGTCAGTCATGACTACTAGAAAATGCATATACAGCGATACACATTAAAGTTAAGTTTCGGGGCGCGCTGGTGGCGCAATGGTTAGGGCGCGCGTCCCATCTATTGAGACTCTCGTCTCAAGCAGTAGGCCCAGGTTCACTTCCACCCGTGGCCCCCTTCCACATGTCATTCCCCGCTCTCTCTCCCTGGTTTCCGACACTATCCACTGTCCTCTCTCTGCATTAAAGGCACGAAAAGCCCAAAATAAATCTTTAAAAAAAAAAAGAAGAAAAAAAAGGTAAGTTTCATCATAGGTGGTTATTAGTCTTAGATATCAATGTGTGGTCTGTCTGTATCGGTTTGTGTGTTCATGTGTAATGGGTGAGACTGACAGCGTGAGAGGGGATTTCTGTGTAATCCAGAGGAGTAGAAGGTCAGCTGGTGTGATCCCACCCCCTAAGACTAGTGCCGACCAGGCTGACACACTGTGGGTGGCCAAAAGAAGAGTATACAGAAAATCACACAAGTGACTGACTAGCTGCTGTCACACTGATAACCTGACACATGGACCCTTGATAAACCTCTGCTTGTTGCTGGCATGAAGGGATCAACAAATTTTCCGATCTGGTCCCAAAACCCTGGTCCTGAGCCCCCTAACTATGGTCTGCTAAAGGTTGTGCTAAAACCAAATATGATCAAATCGTAAGGTTCTAGGAATCACACCGAAATGTTCTGTAATTAAATGAATTGTCTCTGAATCTGATTGTTGTTCTAGAGAATTGAAGCAAAGCGAATAGTCTCGTAAAGGATTGATACAACCCCCCAGTATTTGACAGTAATGATAGTAACTTGCCGTTTTCCAGTTGGCTCGGAAAAAAAAATTCCTCCACGATCAGCATTCCTTCAATTCCTTACTCATAAATGCAAAACATATGCACACAGACTCAACATCTCTTATGTATTTCTGTTTTTTTTTTTCAGGATGGTCCAAAATTATTCAGGGGTAAACCAGAGCATCTAGGAAGCTTGGGTTGTTCTGGGGTTCACCCCGGTCAGTGTAAAGAAGAAAATGCTACATTCTTTTTTTTTTCATACACACCCTAACATATACGCATTTTTCGTCCTTTTATTATAAGTCATTGACCAATAATAGGCAAATGGAGCAGACAAATATCCCTGAACAATTTTCAAACGGCATTCAGAAAATCGTTATTCTATAAGTATTAATGAATAAGGGTCTGTATTTTTTTCTTAAGTTTTGAGTCATAAGCCTCGATTGTTCTGACATATTTAAGCTCACAAGCTGTCCTGATATAGTCTTTAAAGAGGGGCCCCTATAGCTTATTTGTTTTGAACCTAGGCAATGACTGATTAAATTGTCCTTTAACAAAAACAAAAAACAAATAGGAGTTCTAAAAATAAGGAGCATCTGTATCTTAGTTTCCTGTGTTTCCACCAGCAAATTGGTCTGAAGAATTGTGAGGGAAATGTCTTTGCTCAGCTCCAGGAAAAGAGTAGTAAAGTTGGTATCTTTTTACGACCTCTTACACATATGTATTGATTTAATCGCATCAGTACCTTAATAATGCACTTTACAGCTCTGTCACTTTTATGAGCCGTGACAAGCACTACAAACTCTTTTCTGAATCTTTCATCTTCCCTACAACTTCTGACTTCATCTGCTTTGCCTGAGTCCTGTTGTGCTTTCCTCAGTAACAAATCCAGCAAAACGCCTAAAGCTGTGACAAAGAAAGTTTGACAGAGACAAAACAGGATTTTTTCGACAAGGTGAAAAGTGCAAGGAAAAATAATTTAACATGTAAAAATCTAAAAAAAACATCAAATATAATGATCTTAGACACAAAACGTAAAGCTGTATAGTATACATATTACAAAACAATCATCTAAAAATGATCAGAGTCAGACATACTATCTTTCATAAAGAGAAATTAAAACAATTCCACTGCATGTTTAAGTTGCCGTTAAACATGAAAGTAAGTCAGTCTAGCTTGTGAAGCCACAGAGAATGAAGGCCTGAACTCACTCCCCTCAGTTTGATTAGAAATGAAAGTCCTCAAAGTGGATATACCCAGAACTGCAACGCAAGTCATCCTGCTCTGAAAACGATTTCTCAACTAATGAGTGAAGACGAGGCTGAACTGATGCAACATTTGCAAACAGTGAATCTAAATGATAGAGGCTATAAATAAGACCAGGTCTTGCTAAATTCAAGCACCCACGGTAAGCATGCATAATGACCAGGAAAACTAAATATATATGTAAAGCAGTGATATTTATTTACAGATTCAACGTAGAAGTGTAGAATCTGTACAAAGGGATCAATTTTCTGTGGTGGTTTTCTAACTGCTAAATTCCACCAGACGCGTGGTCGGTCCGTCTGCGCTTCTCTACGGCAGTGGACTTGATAGGTTTGTACTTTAGCCAATGTGTGTGCTTACACTGGCTCTGCTGAGCTGTGTCTCACCTCTCTCCCAGCTCCGGCAACTCGCAGCCCTCTGCAGCAGATACACAAGGCTCAAAAATAGGGATACAGGCAGACATGCAGAAAGCACCTCTCAGCAGCAAAGGAAAACTGGACATGTACCAATTGCCTGGCCAATGACTGGAACCTCAAAAATAGAGCCAATTCTGTGCCAATCTCAGATTAACATACGCGCCGAACTATAATGCCTCGGCCCAGCGACAACAGCACTAAGGCCAAAGCCACTAACAGCAGAGGAGAAATGCATTGGCAGATTTGTGCATCTGTGCTGTCACTATGCACTCCTGCAATCTCTCTCTTTTTCTCCGAGGGCTGGGTAAGAATATCATTCAATTCATATTCCTTTAATATTCTTTTGTTACTGTGGGTAAACTAAATGATAAAACCTCAGCATGGAATTGAAACATCTAAGCTGCTGTGAGATGTGTCACTTTGCATAAAATGTAATAGATTATGATAATTCATAATGATAATTAACAGATGTAAAAATTCTTTGCAACTTCTAATACCATTGACCAAAGCAGCGAGACACAGAGAGGCAGAAAGGTAAAACACTGCAAGCAATAGCCTAATGAAGTAGTCACTAATTGTAGTTTTTGTTGGGTAATTTATGATTCCTTCAGGAAGTAACACCAGGAAAAGATCCAGCCTCGACATTCATTCATCCACCCATCCATACCACGTACATTCTCTGTTTTATGTTAGACATCGTGCTCACCTAATATTACCATCCTGGTGAATGCATGGCTTTAAAGACAATGATGCAGATGATCCTTACCTTTATAAATGTCTATTTTAATCAATGGCACAAGTTTCATTCATTCATGTATTTGTGGGAAATTTCCCCAACCTGGCATCTCTACTTCAGGGCACAAACAATCATCTTTTTTTCTGCACATGGGAGCAGCTCAAACAATTTTCCAGACATGATGTTAAATGCTCTGTGGAGACCACAGCAGCAAACGTTCAGCTTTCAACAGCAGCCAGTCCCTTCAGAGGTTCTTCAAGCCTTTTGGACAAGTGTTTGTATGGCCTCAGTGTGTTTCAAAGTTGTTCAGGCTCCTTCACAGAGAGCAATTTATTACTGGACTTTAACACTAGACACAGTGTGCCTGCCCCATTACAACATCCCATCTACTTCACTAGCCAGCCTGAAGTCTTGTTAGGTTTGGAAAACCTCATTAGTGGCACAGTTTAAGAAATAGAATTCTGCATGTGCCAAAAACAGATTAGCATTTTTAAGAAGAAGACTGTTTACTGTACACACTTCGAAAACGCTGAACACTCTACTTCTTTAAGTATGGATCCACGAAAACAACTCATAAGTCATAAGTCTTTGATAAATCAAGGTGACAATAGTGAACTTCTGATCCAAACAATTCAGTTAAACTCCTGGATATTCAGTCTGATTAAGAAGTTGAATATGACAGACCAGAAAAGGTAGACAAACTTCAGCATCTTGAGCACAGTCTTGATGGCCTGAATATGAATGATTAACTTGAGTGATGACATAATGTAGAGCAGGTTATGATTCTCAGCAAGTCAACCCCCAATAAAATAAGGTAACAAAAGTGATATCACTCTTTCCATTCAGTTTTTCTTTTCAGTGTTCATATTGTAGGATGTTTTTGTCTTAGTCCTCTATCGCTCTTGTTCTTTATCAAGAGAAAGTGAAAAGGACAGTGAGTGCATATGGACAGTGACCAGACATGCTTAGTTAAAACAGCAAGTTGCCCCCAGCATCATCCTTACTATGGCACTGCAGACATGGATCCACTGCACATTTTTTTCAGCCACAAGTCTGTGTTTGGGAGCAAAATGTGTACATTAAAGTGCAAGTAATATGT